ACAAACATTCACACACACTCACACCTAAGGAGAATGTAGAGAAGCCAATTAACCTAACAGTCATGTTTTTGGACTGTTGGAGGAAGCCGGAGTACCCACAGTTCTTCTGCACTTCTCTACCAACTTAATCTATTTACTAATAGAATGTCAGCTCGGTCAAGCCATCAGCTACCTCCCATTCCTGCATTTTTTTTAAACTATTTGAAATTTATTTCATTAGGCTAGAGGCTGGGCTAATGATTTCTTCTCAGACTAGTTTAATCAAACTCAGGCCCAGACAGGCCGGTGGAATTCGCAGGGCTGTGTTTTGCCTTTCCCTCTATGGTGGCGTTTTAATTGCTTTCAAGGGAGCAGAGACAAGCTGTGTTCGGTGACAACAGTTTGTAGAAAGACAGAGCCCCTGCAGTGATTTCCACAACATAGCCATGTCAGACTCCTCAACTTGACTTGAACCCTGTCCATCTTAATTAAACTCATGCCCAGACAAGCTGGTGGCATTTGTAGAGCTTTCATGTATTACTATTTATTTTTTTTAAACTTTGTATGGTGGCATTTTAATTACATGTGTGAAAGGGAAGATAAACTTTGATTCAGAGAAGCTGCTAAGCCCCTGCAGTAATAACCACCATGTCTGCCAACCAACACAGTGTCTGCTTTCAATTGTAACTCTTGTACATTCATCTGCTATCCGGATCATCAAGCAATGAAATATTATGATCCAGAAATTTTTTTTCTCTTTTTTGGCTGATGTGCTTAAATGAAATTTATTTCCACACCTAACTTTCTTTGTACTATTTCCAAATGATTCCCTCAACAACAACATCATTGTAAAGGTTTTTTTTTTTTTTTTACATAAGATAATAACTTTAGTTTTTATTGTTTGGATATACAGTCATATAACTCAAGATACAGATTCATATTGTTTTGGAAACTCTCTGTGGCAGAGTGGTAGTTCTGGGGGAAATATATAATTTTTCAACCAAACAAAAACTGTTAAAAACTGTGGTATGAATTGATATTTTCGGTCCCAATAATGAAAACAGAACAACAATTAAGATGTTAACAAGCTTTAAAAAAGTGTCAGCTTATGAAACAACATCCTATATCCTAAGAAACAAATACGTAGGGTACTTCTGTACATTACTCTCATAAACCTATGCAGACTGGAACTCATGGGGCGTATTGTTTTAGGGACACTGGTCAGAGGGTAAAAGAAGGGTGGATGACCCTCAATACAGCCCAGTGAGAAAACAGTTATTTTAGAGGCTGCAAAAGTTTTAAAACTGGATTGGAGGGCAAACTGAATTTTGGAGGTTGCATGGGAGTTCGCCCAACCAGTCTACTTGTGATTTGTGGATCTTGAGAAGGCATTCGATCATGTCGTTTGGAGGGTCCTGTGGGGGGTACTCTGGGAGTTTGGAGTACCGGGCCCTTTAATAGGGGCTGTTAGGGTTCTGTATGACCAGTGACAGAGCCAGGTCCACATTCCTGGCAGCAAGTCGCACTTTGTCACCGATTCTGTTCATAAATTTTATGGACAGAATATCTAGGCGCAGGCAGTTTTGGTGGCCTTAGGATTGCATTTCTGTTATTCGCAGATCATGTGGTTCTATTGGTTTTATCAGGGTATGATCTACAGCTCTCACTGGAGCGGTTCACAGCTGAGTTTGAAGCGGGATGAAGATCAGTACCTCCAAATCTGGGACCATGGTCTTGAGCTGGAAAAGGGTAGAGTGCCTTCTCCAGGTTGGGGAGGATATACTGCCTCTAGTGGAGGATTTTAAGTATCTTGGAGTCTTGTTCAAGAATGAGGGGAAGATGGAGCGGGAGATTGCTGGACGGATTGGTGCGGCGTCTGCTGTGGTGAAGAGAAAACTGAGCAAAAAATCGAAGCTCTCGATTTACCAGTCGATCAACTACTCTCCTACCCTCATCAATAGTCATGAGCTTTGGTCATGACCGAAAGAATGAGATCCCAGATACAAACGGCTGAAAACAGTTTTCTCCGTAGTGTGTCTGGGCTCTCCCTTAGAGATAGGGTGAGAAGCTCAGTCATCTGGGGGGGGGACTCCGAGTAGAGCCGCTGCTCCTCCACATCGAGAGGAGCCAGTTGAGGTGGCTTGGGCATCTGGTAAGGATGCCTCCTGGGCGTCTCCCTGGTGAGGTGTTCCAGGCCCGTCCCACCGGGAGGAGGCCCAGGGGTAGACCCAGGACACGCTGGAGGGACTATGTTTCTCGGCTGGCCTGGGAGCGCCTTGGGATTCCCCCGGAAGAGTTGGCCCAAGTGGCTGAGGAGAGGGGTGTCTGGGCCTCCCTACTGAAGCTGCTACTCCCACGACCCGACCCTGGATAAGCGGAAGATGGATTAATGGATGGAGGGCCAACTGGATAAGGGCCCTAAACATAGAGACATAGCTACAAGTATTTTCCTACTTTGAGGGACCAGCCAAGATCCTGACCTTAATCCAATTGAGAATCTGTTGCAAGAAATGATTGATGAACACTACATATGTTCTCCATCTCATCTGACTGAGCTTTTGGCTTTTTTGAAAAGAATAAGCCGGCAGTGCACCAAACAAACAGATTCAACAGATTGTTGAATTGTATGAGTGTAAGGGGGTGGTGGGGGGATGGGGGTTAAAGCTACACATTTCTTTATTTGATGCCTGCCACGCCCAGTTTGCATGCAACTGGATCAAAACTTTCACACACCCATGAGAATAAGCCCTGAACCATGTGGGCTGAAGTGGAGCCAGTGAATTGTGGTGTGTCTAACCCCTTGCCAGATTTAAGTCTGATGATGTGGATTTGGGAAGCCGCTCCATGTAGCTCTAACTGCTGGATGTAGCAGCTTCCTGGGGCCCTCAGTCGTTATATCTTTATTATTTCTGCTCCACACAGGAAGGTTCGGATGTTATATACTCAAGTAGAGATAATATTTCAGGTGTCCAACATCAAACTCACCAACTTTGGAAGGGTACAAGAATATCTGAGTCATAGGTTGCCCAAATCCCCTGCTTCTGAACAGATTTGGTAGGTGACTGGCTTGAAGATGGCCTCTTTATTGTAGCCCTGACCTTTTTTTTTTTTATAGATCGTTATGGGTTAACAACTGTGAGACATATGGAGTTTTATAATTAGGACTTTAATGGAAAACATAACAGTAAAATCCTACTTACCAGCTTCATGCCTGAGCAGTTACAATCCTTCATGAATGGCTTCCTAGGTCAGCTTCAAATAGTTTACCCATCATCTGCTTTTCATGAATGGGAAAAAAAATGTTTTCTTTACATTCTAATATTTTAAATATCAAATTTAAAGTTTGAGCTTCTATTCAGATCTAAATCTAACCTAAATCTAAATCGTTTTAATTGATCGTTTTAAATTCTGTGCAGAATAATTAGTTTAAAGATTGATCACTGTGGGTAACTTTTGAACTAAAAGGACTCTTTTGAGACAGGAAATTAAGCCATAAATCAGATCCCTGGTTTTACTGCACATGCTATGAACAAAAACGACCCCCCTCTCCCCCAAAAAAACCCAACAGTAATCCTACAGGACAGGGATGGCACCCTTTTTTTTCTTTCCGTTTTTTGTTTTTTTAAGTATCCCCAGATTTAATGGCTCATTTAGCGGTGAGCCATAATTGTACATATAAAAATGCATCATGGCACCTTAAAGGGTAAACAAGTGGAAGTTAACATCAGGGGTAAAAGAATGCAAAGTGGGCTTTCAGATCTAAATAAATAAGTCCTAAAAATATAATCTTGTAAACTTTATCCAGCCAAAGTTTAAGCGTGCTTTGGAATGAAAAGCAATCATCAGTTTAATTACCAGACTTCTGTTTTTATCTTTCTGTCGTCTGAAAGGGCTCTAAAGGAATGTGTCGACATTAACATTGCAGAGAACGAACAAGCAAAGTCGTTTTTCTCTCAGAAACTTAAAACCTGCTTCTGAACTAGCATTTGTTCTCCTAGCTACTGCAAGGCTCCATTAGATTACAGCGAGCCTCATCCAAACGTCTCCTTTCACCACGGCGACCAACCTTGCCAATATAGTGTAGCTCTTCATTACCCGATTCAAGCCACTGTGCTAATCACTGCAGCCCCTTCAAAACAGCTCTTTATTTAACAACACTGGTGTTTCCCTGCAGAGGCAGGTACTGTGGTGAGAAAGGTGAAAGGCCAGAAGAAAGAGAGGAGAGGAAAAAGGAAAGGGAACAAAAAAGGAAACAATAGTTAAGGATCAGGTGAGGAGGTGGAGCTGGCAGCACCGTGGTTCAGTAAGCTGGCTCATACCAGTGTCAGAATAGGTTAGAAAGACTCAATGCAACATTGTGTGTTTGACCTTTTTGTTACAGCTTTATGAATATTTCAGAGGATACACATCATCACTGCAGTGCAACAGCGCCCCCCGGTGACAATACAAGCACATATAGACGCGATTCTTCATTCAGTTTAAAATAACGTAAAATATCAACACTGAACTCCTTCACCAAATGTAAACATAAGTCTGAAGAGCTCCTTCTAACAAATGCATATAAAAAGAACATAAAAATCAGATTCAATACAACTGAAATTGCTCTGGTAAAAGGATTCATGAATTCTTTAAAATTAAAATATGGATTTTTATATTCAAAAAATTATCCCTTGACTGAAGGAAAAAAAACTAGCAGATGCAAACCCCAAGCCTTACTTGTAAATTAAGAAAGTGTTTCCTTTTCTCATTTATATTATTTATATTTGTCAATAGCACTACTTGTAGTTTTGGTTTAATAATTCAAACCAAAATAATAATCATGTAGTTAACATAAAAGAAGTAAAAGGTGCATTTTACAATCCTTCCCCTGAGAATAGGAAATATTAACCTGTGGTTACCCAGCTCTTTGGTACTATTTTGTAAGTTTTAAATGTGCAAGTAGCAAACAAGGCATTCTTTACTTTTGGCTTGTTCTGAATGGCAGTTTCTGTTGAATAAATGTTACTTGGTGCTTTTTTTTAAAAAAGGTCTCAATGCTGTGCTCTAGCTAGGCATCTTGGGTCCACAATGATAAGTTTAATACCTAATAAAATTCCTAAAAAAATAAAATTTCCTTCCTATAAACAAGCATTTTAAACCTTACACCCTTTAGATGCACTTTATCACTGGAGATTGTAAGATTAGATTGTTCTTTGTGCATTGGAAGTCTGAACAGGACATGCTGGAACAGTCTGTGAATAGATCTAGGAGAGTTGCAGAATGATTTGAGGGCATCTTTGCTCAAAGGTGTGACATTGTAGAGTTCATGGCATTATGCATCTGTGCTATCCACCCCGCTGAACTTCTCAGGTGGGCTGTCTTCTAAGGAGCCATAAGACTGTTGGTTTTTAGCCTCCTTCATGGTGCTGGCAGGTGATTGGCTATCAAGCACTCTGGGAAGGTAAACCTGCAAATATGCAGTTAAGAAGAGAGGGATAAGTGTAAACATATAAAGTAATGTCCATTATAATTTGAAAACATTTTTTAAACAATCTAAAATAAATGTATGCTATTTTAAACTGTTTTAAAATTTGATTAATCATCATCTGGTTAATAATAGCATTTTTTTTCCCACAATTTTTCCATTCAGGGTGCTATTTTCCTTTATTTTAAAGAGGAAAACCTCCAAGTGCTGTGATTAAAAAAGTAATCATTGTGTGAAAATGTTGCTTGTTTTACTTTTTGACAACTAAAATTATTTAAACTTGAAAAAAAACTATGAGAGCAGTTTTATCAAAAGTTGCCCTGAACAACAAAGAGTTTAAGAGAGCAAAATATAGGACAATAGTGTTTTCCATTACAAATATGCACCCATTTGTTAAGTGACACTAATGCAAAAAAATTATTTTGCAATTGAGGTGTTTCCATCAATGCCTTTTAAATCACACATAAGTTTGTTAGCAACTGTTTGGGTAGACAAGTATAATCTGGCTGTGGACCACTTGAGTCATATATGAACATGTGTGTCTACAATGCAGATTTGCAAACGTTTTCAATATGTCCGAAAAAACCACCCAATCATAATTACAAAACTTTTTCTAAATCGGTCATGTTTCCATTAGACAAATTCCTTTTTGTAATGACGAAAACCTATGCAATTTGAAAGTAAATGGAAAAAAAGCAGATATAACATCCATCCATTTTTTGTCATGCTTATTCCAAGCGGTCTACGGGCGAGAGGCGGGGTATACTCTGGACATGTTGCCAGTCCATCGCAGCAGATAAAACATATGTTAGAAATGGCAAAGGTCCGATTGAAACTGTTAGCTGCTAAAATAATAAATATACTAATTGAGTCATGGTGTAAGGATCTGCATAGTATCGTTTTGAAAAAGTATTGACAAATGAATGAGAGTCAGCTCATACAGTGACTGTGAACTTAGCAAAAAAAAAACAACAAAAAAAACTTTTTAACTAAGTCAGACTTAAAGAAGGGATCAGAACATATAACTAGTTTTGATATCATGCCAGGGCTGATTAGCATAATCAGTGAATAAAAAATATAGAAAAAATCCAACAATTATATTCATTTAGTGTGAAAAACATAAATTGAGAAATATTTTTTTTCTTACAGACTATAGCAAATATGTTCTCTTCTTGTAACATTTCCTATCAAATTTAGATGATCTAGGGATTTGATGAAATTATTGTTCTAGTCGATAACTTCAAGCTGCTTTGGAGTATATATATATATATATATATAATAGAGCAACACTTCAAAATAGGAAAGAAAAACTGTCACAGCAATCAATCCTTAAAATGTCTATTTGTCTATATTTTGGTTAAAACAATTATTAGAAAGTTTAAAACAAGCTTTTTCTTGATTTATGTATGAGATAATGCTCCAGCAATATCATATAATGTAATATGTACCTACAGCTTTTCACAGATTTTGATCAAGGGGGGAAAACTGAAAAAAATCTGATCCTAATCCTGATTTTAAAGAACTTTGGACAGTCCTCTTTGTGAACATTCCACCTTTAGTCTCCTTTGTTGTTGTTCTGCCTTACAATCCAGATATATTCAGACATGATTTTAGTGATTTCTTAGTTAATAACTAACACCAGAAACCTTAACACAAGCTCAGCAAACAAAGTGAAGTCAATTTCAGTTCAACGCGAAGCATTTTCCCAACATGCATAATCGTTGTTTTACTTTTTTAGAGAACACTAATCAGTACACCACCTTAGCACTTTCTTCCACTCCCTCTACTGTAGTCTCGTCCTCCTCTTTGACCTAAAAAGGAAAACAATCCAAATGAATGCTCAGCATGAAGGGTGACGGCATGGCAACATTACGCTCACTTGGGTTGGGGGGGGTTGCGACTTACTGCATAGTTATGCGGACTAAGGTGCTTAAACTGGCCGAAGCAGGTGAAGCCCACACAGATGAAGACAGTGAAACACAAAACCACTAAGGTGAATAGAGATACACCGGTCATGAAACCTGAAAACAAAATAAATATTTTTACACCGTGGACTACAGTTAAAACACACACAATGAGGGAGAGTATGATGATCTACAAGTTTGACATGGTTCCATGTTTAAAATAATTAACATGACGTATTGCTAAGAGCACAAAAACCCAAAACAAAACAGGGTGGATAAAATCAAACAACTATATCCTGACGTATAACTGACATCTTATTGAGAACAGAACAGGTTATGGTCTCTCTGGCTGCGTTTGCTGCTCACAGCTGATTACAAAATACAATCCCTTGATTGTTATAAAGACTTGCAGCATTCTAGCTTTTATTAAACCACAATATATACCTGCAGTCGTCTCACGTTTGCTATAAATCTTTAATTCAGTTTTTTGTTGATGGTTTTTCAGTATTTCAGAGTAAATTACATTGGGTAATTTTCCTTCAGGCCAGACAGGTGAGCTGTCAAAAAGGAATATCCTTATTGAAGTTAAATGATAGGTTGCCTAACACAGCGGTATGCATGGAATCTCAACACGGTAGTCTGTAAATATTTTTTTTTACCGTCACTATAGGAGTAGACACTTCCTGGAGGGTTGTTTCTCCCCCCCCACCCCCTCCCCAAAAGACATTATAAAGGCATGATTTTTATTTTATGAACTTCCAATAATTTCAGTTTTACCATCTTGTACTTTGGACGTAAAACTTTAATTAGCACTTTGAGGCATCTTAAAAAGATTAGAAACCACTCAGACCTGGTTGTTTTCCCACAGCCTAAGAACCTCCGACTCCTATTTCAAACACCCTCTAGAGTCGCTGCTTTTTGTCACCTTAGCTTGTAAGAGACATGCAGTACTGGAACACCTTTAATCTGCTAAGGAGCAGCTAGTTTTGTTTACTAATCTTTAAAGTTGGTTATACTTCACAAAGAGGAATTCTTTTTTGTGAACTTTGACTGCTGAGGGACACGTTATCTACTTTGTTTTTCTTTCTTAAAAGTTCACTTTAAAATATTAGCACTTAAGCAGAAATATTGACTAAACCCAGTGTAAAAAAAACAAACCCTACCTAGGATAAAAGCAACACCACATCACAAAACATACTGTTAATCGAAGCTAATGACACATCCTAATATAGTGAGCACAAATGGGGTAGGAGATTTATGACTTCTACTTGCAGAATAGTGAGTGCTATTTAAAAATGCACATATTTATATGAATTGTTTGCTTTGGGGACGGTTGTGAAATCTGTAGTTAAAATCTCCTGGCTGGAGCATAATAGCACATGACATCCATCTAATCTGATTGAGCCTCAGCTATTCAACAAGAATGGGCCACTTGTCAGTTTGTAGATGTGCAATGCTGGTAGAGACATATCTCATCGGTGATTATAGCTGAACTGGGTTCTTCAAATTGTTAATTTAGCAGTAAAATGTAGGAAACACTTAAGATTTAGAAATGCAAAAAGAATAATTTAACTTAATGTTTCTTACTAGGGCTGGGCAATTAATTGCATTTGCAATATCACAAAATGCAGTTTTCAGATTGCAGAGGTGCTTAATTTGTGTCATACTACATTTAACATTAGGTGGCAGGAATATGCTTAAAGTGGGTTTTCAACCCCACTGAAAAAAGAGAGATGCAGCTAGCCTGCAAATAGAAGTTAGCACTTTTTTACAGAATAATTTCAGTAAAGTCCTGCCCTGCTCTGGAAACACCAGCTCCTAAGGTCATGAAAAATGTTAAATCCTGTAGTAAAACATTTATATGATTGTGGAAAGGAAGTGCAAAGAAAAATCAAAATAAAATCGCAATATTACCGTAGTTTAAAATAATTGCAGTTTTTGTTTTTGGCAAAATTGTTCAGCTCTATTTCTTACTCTTTAAAATTGGAAACTTGTTAAACTTTTTGGGTCTAAATAAAAACAATGGATTTCATTGGTTACATTAAAATGTTAAAACACTTATTTCTAACCTGCTCTAAGGACGGTGAGGAAGTAGAGCCATATCAGGGAGAGGATTGGTGCTGTTAAAGCCAGATCAACAGCTCCTTGGTGGACTTGGCGGTCAAGGCGAGTAGGTAGGTATGCAAAGAACAGGTTGTGTCTGTCCACCAGGTGTTTGAGCAATATGTAAAGAAGCCCTGATTGAATTAAACAAAGTCACAAATTACAAAACTGCTCATTATACTTTACATTAGACTAACCATGATGCTGAATACCAACTATTAAACTCCTTACCAAATGGCATAATGATGGGGCAAATGATGCTGTAAGCCAAGATGACACTGAAAACACACAGAGTCCAGCCGTACATGGCTCCATATTCAAACTCATATGCTTGGTGCTGTAAAATAAAATAAAAATGACATTTACTGTTCATTTAAGCAGTGGATATATTCTTTCCACACAAAATGTGGCTTATATATATGGTATAGAACAAGCCTAGAATGAGAAATAAAGGTCAAAAGTTCCTCCTGCATCCTTTTATTAAGAATTAACATGATGAAAAGGAAGAAACAAAGCATGAAATAACCTTACAAACCTGCTGGACATATTTCCTTTCTGCAGCAGAGCGTGCAAGCATCAAACGTATTGCATAGAGCAGTAACCCTGGCAACCGCAACAGCTCCATCCCAGAGCCCACCAGGGCGGCCGCGATCACGTAGTTTACGAAGAACGCCCCTTGATCCGGTAGAAACACACACCTGGTGGATCGATTTAAATCAAGAGAACCGTTAAAACCATGAAGGCGTGACAAACGCTAACTTGTGAATAAATAAAAATATCTACAGCAGCATAAAAATAATTAAACTAGATTAAGAAAGTGATTGGTTGAGACAAATTTACACAACTTCCAAATACCTTCACCAGAAACCAATCAAAACCTCTGGTATGATTTAATTTGTATATGAAGTAAATTAGCCAAAATATAACCAATCCAACCAAATACTCACTCAAATCTTGTTTTCCCATCAACTATGAACTTTTTATCAAACAGCCAGCGGAAAAACCAGGCAAGACTAAAAAAGACAAACAAAAAATTACTTAAAGCTAGGAATTAGAAAGCAGTCTCATCTGACAGTTGATTAATACAAGTATGCAAAAAGAAAGTGGTCATTAATTTATAAGGAATCTTCTGAAAGGATCAAGAGGATTTGCAGGCTGAGAGGTGACTGTACTTCCTAAGGAAGCTTAGGTCCTCTGGTGCATATCTTCTATTAGTCTGTTGTGGAGAGTTTGCCATCCTCTGCTCGGGTAACGCCATCGAGTAAATGACAAAGAAACCTTTGTCATTTGCTCTAAAACCTCAGAAGATTCTTCATAAAATGAAGAACACTGTCAACAACAGTAATCATCTTCTGCAGAAGATTGTTTTACACCAACAGTGTTTTCAGTTAGACTCCAGATTTGGTTCAAGGCAGACCTCTGCCTACAGCTACTAACATCTAAAACTAAATGAACATTCTGGAATTGAATATGAGGAGTTAATGAGGATTTCTCCAAAGTGCAAAGAGCTCTCTGAATTAACAATAGGTTATTGCTTTAAAGTTAGTGCTTCTCAACTAACTTCTCCCTCTATTGTAACACAATGGGGAAATTCTGGTGTTTACCGCAAAAATATTATAGAAAATATTGTCACACATATGTGGACCTTAGAAAAGTGTATAAGAATAACAAATTAGTGAAGAGTTAAAAAATAAAATACTGTGCTGGTAAGTGTTTTGACAATATAAATACTGTGCACCTGGAGAATAAATAACCAATATGGACATTTTGCAGTATATGTAGTGCCTTTTTTACATTTTGAAACGCTGTAACCGCAAACATTAAATACACCAAACTGAACGTAGTTTTTGTGAAGCCAAAAGAAAATTATACTTCGTAGCTTTTTGCAAATCATTATTCAATAAGTATGATTATATTCAGCTCTACGTTAATACTTTGTATAGGCAAACATTTTAGGGCCTCTCTCTACTACTTTAACGTATTACGAGATTAAAATACCTCAGTCTAAGGTGGATTAGATAAAAAGAATCTGAGAACAAGAATTGAAGTCTTGCCTCTGATGGTCTATTGGATAAGGTCTGGACTTTGACTGTACCAAAGCCATAAATGATAAGCCATTTGTAAAACATTTCAGTTTACTTCTGGATTATAGTTCAGGGTCACTGTTCTGCTTGAAGATGGACCTCTGGGCTCATCTTTTAGTCTCTAATAGGTATCAAAGTAGGATTAGATCTCCCCTTGTCTTCATTGACAAAGATCCTGTCTAGGAATGGAGTACAATCTACCTTTAGATAAAGATAAAATATTGAGATTTTTAACAACAAAGACAATCTCTAATTAATGATGTTTTTAAACCCCAAAAAACTGATCATATGACTGACTTCAACCCATGTGTGCTGCTCTTCTACATTTTTAGAGATTTGCTGCAGCTGGAGTAAAGATATGAGATTTTTCTTCTTCTTTTTTTTTTTCTTTTTTTTTTTTAGTATATGTATCATGTCTTTGTTGAGCCATTGTCTGCATGCAGTTCCAAATTTATTGCATTAAAACACTTTAAAAAAAAAATACTTTTAGTATTCCTTTTTTCATTGCTACTATATATAATACAAAATATAACTGACAAAATCTAAAGTCTATACTTTTAATCCCACAATCCCACACCAATGTGTTGCCACTTCCATGCTTCACACTGGTAAAGAAATGTGCAACACTGCACACACAACTTTATGGTTTGATTTTTATCAAATTAAAAACTATTTGCACTATTTATTCAACTTTACAATATTGGATCATCTTATTGAATAACTATAATCCACTAAAGGATGAAAAAGTCAAAAGTGGTCTGGACACTTTTATGGCACTAAGGAGTAAGCATGTTTTAATTCAATATTAGCAGATGCATATAAAGTGAACAGAAATAAAAATCAGGTTAATTTTTGCCAACAACAAAAAAACAACTAATAAAAACAATAACCTGATTGCGCCACTGTAACCTCCTCCTATATAATGTCAGTGCTTGTTCAGAATTACCTGGTGAGTCCTAGCGAGGGAAGAATAAGGACCATGAAGAGCAGAAAGAAATACAATTTGCGCATCATGCTCAGCTGCTCGCTGGACCTGGAATCCAGATTGTAGTGAAATTAGGAAAATGTAGCCCCGTCAGCAGAAAGTTTACCATGTTTTCTCCACCAGTGAGTAATGTGTTCTTAATACCTGGTCCAGTGGGCCTCTCCTAGAGTAGAGTAGTACACTATTGTAGGCAGCAATGCAGAGAAAGACCAAAGCAGAAGAGTTGGGAAGAACTGGCTAATGATGGGGCTCTGGATAAAGAAAATAACAGTATCCTAATGATTAACACCTATTGAAAACAAAACCATGATATATATTTTTTTTAAGTTCAGAACTCACATTAAGGGAGTGGATTGGCTGTGTCACGTTGAACTTGTCGATGACGTTAATGATGATGGTGGGAGTCGTCAGGAAGGTGAGAAGGATAAACAGAAGGAGGTTTATTCCCACACAGCGGATCAACCAGCAGAAGCCGCCCACTGAAAGGTTCTCCCTGATGGTCATGGAAAGTTAGTAAAAGCACAAATAACCAAAGATTATAGTGTGTAACTTAAATATGGGAATCTTTTCAAACTTTAAGGTGATCAAACAACCGAGTGTATTTGGTTATAATAGAAATTAATGTTTAAAACAGCTAAGTATATGCGCACATTACAGTTTGGCCTAATTTCTTGCAAATATATACTATAAATGTGTATATAAATAAACAGATGGTTTTACTAAATATCATTTAGAGAAAATATAGCTTCTTTTCCCGTTATACTTGGCTGTCAGATTGTCCACCCTAACCCCTACATAGGGCACTATGTGGGGGTTACACCATTTTTAATGAGTTTCCAAATGTCTAGTGGATGAAAATGTAGTGGACTCAAAATTCCCACAAAGCACCTTGAAAAGTAGTTTGCATCCAAAATTGTTGTGTGGTTAAGTCCTCTTGGGACAAGATTTATGATTGGTTATAAACGAAAAATGTGATTCCTAATTCTAAATATAAAGGAGTTAAATTAGGCATTACTTTTCATGATAAAAATTTTGAATTTTTATGTAATATTATTTTCATTATGGGAAAATTCTTTATCCACAAGTGCAGATTATTTAAAGTTTCTCAAAATTTTCAAGCATTCCAAAATGATATTAAAAGTTTTCATGCCTCGATTAAGTTACTGAAGAACAACAAGGCCTTTAAGTTTTCAGACTTGATAGCAATATACTTTAGCTAAAGCTTTTTTTTATATATTAATTTTCTTTCTCATTCTTTTATATTGTTTCTTTTTTGCAAAGCATCATGGGATTTATTTTGGGGGAGAAAAAGAAAAAAGGAGGCGGAGTTACATGTCCAACGGAGAGCGAAAAGTAGTGATCATCTGTCTAAACGATTAGTTAACTGACTTCACTATAAAGTCCACTACATAGTCCCTGCTCTATATACTGATTGCGGGGTTAGGGGCTAGGGTGGACATTCGGACACAGCCCTGGTCTTTTTAGTTCCTCATTATGATATACAGGGAACACCTGCTGTATGGCGGGTTGCTGGTTCTGATCTTACCAGTAAATACTTTTGGGATGTGGAGCAAAGCTGACCATCCATTCGTTTACATTTAGATCTCTGCTGACAGACGAAGGCTGAGGCCTCTTCCCACAGCAGCAGTTTCGCCCTCCACTCTTGATCGCATTGAAGTCTTTTAGAATGCTGCATGGATTTAAGCAGCAGTTAGGGATATTATAGAAATACTATTGACATAAATGTGTCCAAAATGATTTAATCATTTAATATACATTTTATGTCAGAGACTGCATTAAAGAAATATCCCTATACTTAGAATATCTTCAATATATTTTTTTGTTGAATTTGATGTAAAACCTACTTTACTTCTTCTTTTTTAAAGGAATATCTGAACACTGTGCCATGTGTTTGTGTACAGCCTTGTTCCTTTGAGAGCGCTTCATGAATTCCAGTCTAACCTAATTATTTCACAAGTTGTTTTGAGTTTATATCAGAATAAACCCAGCTGTTCTGTGAAGGCCTTAGATGGTTGTTAGAGAACATAGATAGAGCAGTGAACACAGACAGATCACAGATAAAGTTGTAGGGAGGATTAAAGCAGGCCTAGTTTATAAACAAAATATGCTGAAACTTTAAGTCTCACTGATAGGCTGGCCAATGAGAAAAGCTGCAGAGATCCAGAGTTATGCAGGAGATTCTATTGAAATCTATTTGCTGTGCTCTCAATGGGAGGCACAAAGGAAGCCATGTTTACAGAAAAGGATTCAACTCCTATTTTTTCCACAGAAATAAAGAGAACTTGTGGAAGAAGAAGAGGTTTAAGTAAAAATATTTAGCCCACAAGATATCTACTGTGTTAAGTGGAAAATTATTAATGTTCTCAGTTAGACATGGTGGTAACAGCTTTATGCTGTGGGATCTCTTTATAGACCAGAGATAACTACATTTGTGAGAGAATGTTGAAAGACAGAGAGAGTTTAAAGCAAGAAAGAAAACTAGTGCGATGCTACAAGAAGAGACTGGAAGGGAAGTTTAACTTCCAGTAGGACAATGTCCCGAAACCTATAGCAAGAGGTGCAAAAGAATGCCTCATATTAAAGTGTATGTATAAATCTAGACCATAATCTGATCTCACTTCTGATCTCACTTTACAATAAAAATCAATGTTGTGGTTCTAGAATGGCAGAATTCCTTTTCAATATAATGCAACTTCTTCTTTTGTAAACACAGAAAGAAGAACCAATACTCACTACTTTGCCATAGCCTCGTTCTCTAATGTGACAAAAGCCATACCCAGCGGATCCCGTGGGACTTCCTCTGCTTGCTGTCTCATTTCTTCCAGCAACAGCTTTTCTTTATACTTGTAATATGATATGGCATCGACCTAAGTGAAAACACATACAGATTTTTAGTCATTTGCTTTATAATAAAATATTCCCTGTCCATAAAATTTTCCTTTAGTTTTTTTAAATGATTGTTGGAGTCTTTTCTTCTTAAAATATCACAGCCTACTTTTAAGTTCAAAGCTGAGTACACCATGTTGTTTTTGTCATGAGTTATGGTTTTCCCTCAATATCTAAAGAGATTTCACCCAATTTTACTTACATTTGCAATTAAAGTGTGACTGAGGTTTCCAAGCTGTCAGTGTTACACAACCTGCTGATTGCAACACTATCAAAATCACAGGGTTTCAATTACATTTCTATTTCAAAATATCATCCTATGTTTTTGAATTTTACAGAGATTCTGATATATAATGTGGATAAACATCAATCTAATCACAAAGTAGTATCAAGATTTGAATACCTGTAGGTTGTAAATAGGATGCAACTCTAAATGTAATTTTTTTTAAATACTGTTTCTGAACAATGATGCCTTAGGTTCTGTCAAATAAAAAAAAAATGTGTATGTTCTGTTTGGTATTTTAAATGAATATCTTTTAAGGGTAACCGGTCCATTCAATCATCAATTTCAAACGTTTGTGAGTGCAAAAACAGACTGAAAGGTTATTTCCCTGATATGTAATTGAAGTGCATGCTTAGTAGGTAAGTAGGGAGTGTCACTAGTGAATGGGATCAGCACAGCACAATCACACAACTAATTTAGTTCATTTAATACAAATGGGTTTTCAGTTATACTTAAGAACTACATCCATTTTATTGGGTTTGATGAAATAAATCTGGATTGAGATTAAGTCTTGAAAAACATTTGAGTCTTGAGAAACATTTGAAACATTTGATCTTAGATAAGTTAGATTGCTAAAGCACGTGGAAAAAAAAAAAATCCTGATTCCTTTTATCCTTAATATGAACAACGCCTTGATTACAGAGTGAGACTCACCTTTTCACAACTGGAGCAGCAGCATAGGTGGCCACATACACGAGGGCTGATCAGTTCACGCTCCCCTGTTTTCTCCAGGACACGCTCATAATATCGCAGGTTTTTGCCAGCCCGAACCCTGGGTTGGAAAAACAGAAATATATAAACAGAGACAGTTGATTTTTAATAAAAAGTTTAAAAAAAGCAAACCATCTATAAACTGCTTTATGAGCAGACTACATCTACTCATATAAGTACATGTAGTACATATATACATATTATATATATATATTCACATACAATGCTTTTCTCAGACTTTTAAAAACACCCTTAAAAAAAACAGGACTTATTACTGCCTCTAAACGTAACACAGAAACACAACCACTCCCTTCTGCTGACCGTAGTTGTGTTCATACGCTGCATCTTTAGCACTTACAGAGCAGTAAAAGTGAATATTCCACTTATAAGAGACATAATAACCTGTCAGCTGATTGTCATGTGGATAAAAGAGGGTTAGGAGGATATAATGAGATATATGAGAGTGTAAGTTTGCTATTTTCTCTACACAAGGCTAACTGCATAATACTGTTTTGTTGTACAGACAGACAATTCATCCCTTCATGAGAACCTAACTTTTATGCTACATGTGAAATTCTCTAATCTGGAGATGATTATATGTGATAGGATGGCTGAAACTTGCAGTAAAATTATGGGTTAGACTATAGAGAACATACAACAATATAAGAGTACAAAAAAGAAAATTGTTAAAGCTGTTAAATTAGGATTTAATAAGTTTGTTTCATGTAAAAATAATTGTGTGATTCTAAAACCAGCTACTTCTAAAATCTCACCTTTCCTTATCAAGGTACATAAGTTTGGCCACATCGTAGCCCAATGTCACTGCACACACTTTGCAAGAAGGATACGCCTCCCTATGGACAAACATGGCAGCAGATGAGGAGTTTAAAAGATATTAACTATTAATATGGTTGTTTCATAACAAAAAGTCACATAACATAAATTCATCCAACATACGTAAAGTGGGTTTTTACTTGTTCCTCGGTTGTTCTTTTAGGAATTGCACACACAAACAGGGTGTTTCTAGCCTACAAAAAGAATGAGACCAAAGATGTGTGACCAAAAACTTCACATCAGTTGTTTAGTGTGATAAATACATTCAATTAGAGACTTACTTTTTCTCTGCGCATGCCTTTCATTTTGGATGTGTGTAACCGCAGCAACAAAACCGTCAGGAACAGGTAGACAATCGCAAACACAGTGTGGAGCCATAAGAAATTGTTTCTGGAATCAAAATTGGTAGTGACCATTGAGAAAAGTGATAACTGCCCTGTGTACCAATTTACTTTGAGATAATATTCCAGAGATTAACTCATACAGCTTTTTTAAGGCCGATGCTGATATCTAGATATCAGTTTAATCAATCCCTGGTATGTGCTGCTTTCTCTTCTTCCAGTTATATGATAGTTAAATAAATGCAATATATATACCAATACATGGGGGAAAAAAGCAAATATCAGCCAAAAACATCAACCTACTGATGTATCTGTCAATCTCTAGAATATACCAAAATGTTGTTGTTTTTCTTTTAAATTTCTAATCACACTTACTGGGTAGAGAGATTCGCAATAGTCGTCCTTCCAAAACTATGAGCATCGTTTCCTAAAAGAAAGAAGTTTATTTTGTCAAACAATATTAGACAAACACAAATATGTTGAGTGTCTAGCTTTACCTTAATAAAGAAAAGGAATCTTGTTTTTTGAGTATTTCTTTCCATTTTATATTTTCAAATGCTTTACAAAAAGCAAAAACTCAGGGAGTAACACAGAGGAGTAATACCACAGATTTTTCATTTAAGCTGGTTTTTTCACTTGGTTCCAACAAGCCCAATAATTTTTTACACCAATGCAGTTACATGCACAGTTTATATCTGCACACTAAGTGCTTTTGTACACCAATGCCTTTATTTGCATTTTTATATGCTTCTTGAGTGTTTTCTACCCCCATCCTATTATTTGCAGTTCTATTCTTTTGAAAGGAGCTGCTGTTTTTATTTCATTTTTGAACATTTTCCGTTAGATCTGGGTATTCCCTTTTTTATATTCTTGTGTGTATCTGTATGCTTTCTTTGTCTCTCTGCTTTGCAACGTCACACCTAAATTTCCCCACGGTGGGACAATAACAAGTGTTTCTGTTTTATTCTAATTTGTTTAAATGTTTTGGTTTTATAGAAAAGAATCTCATATTTTTTATGAGATTTATTTTCTTTTGTAAAATCTTTGATGTGCATCTTTCAAGCAGATGTATCACGCTCCATCGGTTTAACCTCTTGCTTATGTGAACCACCATAACACATCCACATTGGCGTTTAGTTCCATTCTGCGCTGATTTATTAAATAATTTATTTCTGTTTGCGTTTAGCTGTGAGAAATTATAAAGATGAATAATTGTGAAAATGTTTAAATCTCTGTTTACTCACACATTATTGTCCATTTCTTATTAAAACCGTTTTACAGTATTTATAACTCTAAACCCATGTGATCAGTAGGTTTATATATATATATTTTTTTTTTACAAAATATGACTGGTGATAAACCACAGAAGCAAAGAGTGGATATTATTAATTTGTCACAAACATTTTCTTAAAAGAAAGGAATAGCAGTAGATGAATGAGAACTATTTTAAGCCATGATCTGTCATGTGTAAACTAAAGCATGAATAACAGCAAATATTTTGAAAGGTTAGAGGAAGAAAAAAAAACTCCTATGCCAGACATGCAATTGTGTTTGATCTCTTCCTTTTTTCAGTTCTGCTTCATTGCAGTGCTCTACAGGTTAGCATTCCTCCTATTTACACATTTGCTGTGCATAACAGTATGCTTGCGTGCCATTATGGACTTTCATGCCTATGAACTTAAGTTTCTAGGAGACGGAGTTGGGCGTGACTTGTTAAACTTACGGAAAAGTTTCCCGGTCATGTTTACGGGCAGAATGATTGCCAGGGAGGTAATAGTGAGGACCGCCAGCAGGATTATCAAATGTCGCTGGAAGGACAGGTAGTGAACAGCATCCATGCCACATTTCTCTTTTATTTTTTCATCACTGAAACATATAAGGAGAAATCAAACAAAAACAATACATGATTTTTAGCATCTGATGAGAAAACAAATATAAATGAAATAAAATCCAAGGTGATTACAAACAGCTCACGACACTCACTCCATTGTCAGGATGTAGGGCAGCCAAGAGCAAACTCCCTGCACAGAAACAGAAAAACAGTATTGCAAAGAATAAAAATGGCGGCGACTTCTTTTCAGTTCAGAATCAACTTTAATCATAAAGTTGTGTGAATGAAACTGAGTTTGCTTTTTTATTATGTTTAATAATAAAGATTTTTTTCTTACCGACTCATATTCAGGGTTTTCAGCATTGGATGCGGTGGATGGCATACGTCCATAACGGCGATGTTGTGTTTCACTAAATCTATAATAAAAAGTTCACTGTTTAGTTTTTAAAAATTTTTTTTTTCCTTTTAATTTATTGTCATGTTTATATTCTTGGAGTTTGCCACAAGTTCAAGTTCTAACAGCCGTAAAACATGCATGCTAAGGTATTAACCAACCCTTCATTGTCTGCAACCAGGGCTAAACGACCGTAGTTCCAGAATGTCTTTCTGATGACAGTGAAGAGGAACAGCAAACACTGAAAAAAAAGGCAAATTTAGGCTAGGTATGACAGCTTTGTAGAGAATGAATAAGATGAATGAATAACAACAAAGAAAACATGTACTGAGTTGTGTTTTTAAGACCAAGTCATGAAGAAAAATATTTTCTAGTCACATGCTTTGTAATGCTAAATATATCAGTTATGCAACACAATGACAGATGGACACATACAATGAAAACGCAGAAGTCAAGCAGGAGGACGACTGGAACGCCTCCGAAATCCAGTCCTGTGAGAACAGTGCTCTGGTTGGAGTTGAAGCAGCTTAAAGTAGGAGTACTATTAGAGACCACCAATGGCCACAAAGAAGACATCGCTGGAGCAAGGCCAGCTGTATATCTGTAGAGAATAAAAGAAAAAAAACAACAACTAATTAATTAATTAATCTCAAAGAGGTATAATGAAAATGAAAATAATAAAAAAAAAACAACTGTAGATGTAGATTTCTGGGAATCAGTGCTTCATTATCCTTCACAATTTAGGGAAAACACATTTTTCAACACCATACTAAAAACCAGGGCATGAAATTGGTGAAACTGTCAACCTACCTGAATGTTAGCGGCTAACCAAAAACAACAAAACACAAAGCAAGGGTTGAGTTGTTGTCCAATTAGGTAACATATGGTTTATTAAGCAGGACCTGCTGTTCTCTTTAATTTCTTAGAAAATGTGGCAAAAACAAGGCTTTTTTTTTAACTGTTAGAAAAGTTAAACCCATTATTAGTGTGCAGCTGTCAAGAATCAAAATGGATGGATGGATGGGTTTAAGTTGGGTAACACTGATTACAAATCAGACATGCCCATATATCAATATATTAAGTCAGTTAGCAATAATTTAAAAGGTTGCTACGTCTGTGACATTAGTTAGTTAGTTTATTCTAGGAATAAACCCATTCCTCTTTACTTTCTAAGCAGACTATGAGCTCACAATTGCTCTCAGTGTTATTAGTCTGAAATGGTCACAATAGAGAGAGGAGGGTCAGCAAAAAGAGAAAAATATCTATTGCATAAAAGTGACTTGAGACTGAGATGCTGCAGCAAATTTTATTGCTTCTCTTCCTAATTCTATCTCAAAATTTTGCTTTTTATATTTTTCAAATTTTTATTACCATAATACAAGTAGCAGAGGGAAGGTGAATAAAGAATAATAGCAGCTGAGAAGAAATCAGATCCATGGCTTAATAGTATCAACTGCATTTTTTACTCTTCCTAATGCTATTTCAAAATGTTGTTTTCCATTTTGTCTCTAATATTAACTAACATAGCATAAAGAGCAGAATCAGGGAGGAGATGGACGAGAGGCCAGCAACCGGGAGAACGATGTAGTGTCTTTACAGATAAGGAGAAACAATAACTTTCTGAGAATATCTATTGCAGAGAGAAACCAGGCACGTATTAGGAAAAGATTTTCACAGATATTTTACAGGAAACTAAACTTGAATGCAAGAGACTGATAAATTATTCTGAAAAATGTGTCTTTATTTCTGAGATGATGGCTATGGCCCTGGAAATATGGGTATGGATTCTATCAATTCCGTTATTGTTGTTATGATTATTTATCTAAATGTTATAGATATTAGACTTGTCTTGAAAATAAAAATATTAATATGTACAAATGTAAAAACACCATTTTAAATTTATGTAATGTAAAAATAAAAAACAAGAAGAGAGTCGAACCTTGATGCAAAAAAATGACCCAAAAAAATCAGTTAAACATGTAATTAGATCTTCATGCATTATTTATCTCATTTTCTAGTTTAGATTCTAGTCATACCAGGTCAGATACAGTTTTCATGATCTAGATCTAGCTATAAATGAGATTAAGTTAGATAATAACCCAACAGCACTTTAATGGGAAAACCATTCTAAAGCATTTTCTGAGTCTCTCATTCTTATTTTAGGCTCAACAAAATTTTGGCTGGTAAATAAAGCACTGTTGCGATGGATACTGACCAAGAAACTTAACTTCAGGCCCTGTTAACAACTAGTGATAGTTAAACGTTTACCTTTAACACAATGCAAGTGTTAAGAAACCTTTGAGGTTAACTGAACTAAGCTTTCCAACAGTTCTTGCAATGGCTGTAGGATTTAAGTTTCATAAGTCAAACATTTTAAGCAATCATTGAATAATTAATGAAAACCTTACTACCGATAGTGTACTCTAAACAGAAATAATAGTAGGTGGATGTTACTAAGGACCTAGATGTTGCTGTTGTTTCTTATTCACCTTCTTTTTTTTACTTAATATAGACATTTTTTTGATAAAGAGCTTTTTAATTTGTGCATTTTGTTTTGCTCAGCATATTTTATTTCCTGCAGTGCATCTGTCATTGTGGCTTGCTTGCGATGAAAGACATTTTTATCTTGAGCTGAAGGCTATCAATCCGACTGTTGTATGCCCACATTTAACCACATTTAGACTCTTGCATAATGAACTTTATAAAGTTGTCTTTAGGCTTACAATTTTCAGCAGCAGTTTGCCCCAGATATTGCTAAGATGAAAAACACTCTAGAGTTTCCTGTTTTTCAACATTGTTTAATCCTTTAATTCAGGTTCTAGAAATAGCTTGGTTAATAACACTGCGGTAGGTCAAGGCCCAAAAAAAGTAATGGATTCAGAAACTCTATGAACCTAAACCATGCCTATAGAGATTTCAAGATAAGTCCTGGAACTACTGCCGTTTTCTCAAGCTCCCAGGGTTACGATAGTTTACTTTGCTTAAAGCACAAACAAATATTACTATGTAGACATTCTCCTGCTCTTAATCGCTCCTATTTTGAAACTGCAGTTGGTAAGCTACATCTGTTAACCAAAACTACAGGGTCAGAGCGCATGGGAACACTAATGAAACAGCTAATACTACCTATTTATACTACTAAGTATTATATATATATATATATATATATATATATATATATATATATATATATATATATATATGTGTGTGTGTGTGTGTGTGTCATTATATTCTTCTCCATTGTGCTTGAAAACAACTTACTGAAGCAGGGTTTCTCCAACACCATGCATGCAGCCATTGCTGCACCCTAAATGCACCAGGGTGCGTTATCACAGATTCTTCCTCCCAGCAGCTGTAAGACTCTATAACCATCACTGTTCCCAACAACCTCAAGACGTTTTCACATTCATACTAATTTTTGCTGTCTCTTTCTCAGTAACATGCTGCCTTTTTTTTTTTTTTTTTTGCAGATCTCTTGTATTGCTACTATTTTCACATATCCATTACTGTAAAATTGTTTACAGCTGTTTATTGATTATTTATTCTCCAGATACAAAGTATTTATATTATAAAAACCCTGTTAAGTACAGTATTTCATTTGTTTATTTTCTTAACTCACTTTTTCTGTTATTTTTATACAGTTTTATAAGGTCCACATTGTGACATTGTGACAACTTATGTTTGGCTGCTGCTGTAACACCACAACTTTTCCACTGTGTGACAATAAAGGGATTTTCTATTCTATTTTTCAATTTTTTGCTTGAGTCCATTCGTTCAAATAATAAATACGGAATGTAACATCAACTGTGATAATCCATGTGTAACATTCAACATGTTCGTTTTACAAACTAATATGTACAGCTGTTAAATTCTTAATCCTTGCATGCATAGAGCTTTCATACTGCAGACCAAAGGCGTAGCCAGAACATTTTATAAGAGTGGCCAGGCAATAACTAATGTACACTGAGGGGTGGCCGAAAGCAGATAGGCACCAAAACCTCACAGTCAATCTACACTGTTCGAACAGGAAATTTAACAAGCAAAAATCCATATTTTAAAAAAATTAATAAAGACAAACTATACTTTCCAACAGCCTTTTCTAACACATAGACAAATATGTTCAAACGTCCATGCTTTCTATATAAAAGGTATAGTGGATAATATACTTTCAGGTTTGAGTTTTGGCCGAACATTGCTTACCTACTTTTATCAGTAATCATTCCACATAAAACTGTTACTTAAAAATACTAATATCTAGATAAATTGATTATTTAATATGTTTTTATTAAAACAGCTATTTATCTATGATTTCACTGAACACTTCTAAGTTACTTGCAGAGACATTTTCATTTTACCCCATAAAACAAAATCTATTTCTGAAGAGCATGCATTCTGTACTTATAATCTTTAATGTTAATATATTGATGTGTAGAATAACCACAGGGATTTTTTTTATGTGTAAAGTAATTGTTAATATATAAGAAATGTTTTGAATATTCTACTTGAGAGTATTACTGCTGCCACCATCTGTATTAGAGGAAAATAAAGGGTAGGGGGTTTCCACAGGTGAGGCCAATGATTGGATAAGGGTGACCATGGCCACCCCTGGCCCCCATCTAGCTCCGCCCCTGCTGCAGATAAGGATTTCTATAGGCAAGTTTGCGGATTATTCGTTTATTTTGAATTGCATTCATGTGCAGCATCAATTCGAGCTGCTGATCGTTGAGAAGTAGATAACCTTACAGATCAAACGATCAAACATCCTGCTGACACTCAGGGACAGAGCAGCTTGTGTACTCAACGTCAAGTTAATTGTACTGGTTCTGCAAGTAATCAACCACAGACACGCCCTTCTTTTCTCCAAAATAGACGAAGTCATGAGGAAACAAGACTTGCCAGTGGTGAAGAACAACAAACCAGCATTTCTTAATCACATCTGATAATCATTTTAACTTACAGGTTCGACTCCCGTCTCAAAGCATGGGGAAGAGTGTCAATCAACAGCTGTTAAGTACTCTCTGACACGTCACTGAACGACCGTTAAAGATGTCAAAGTATTAACAATAACCGCGCTAGTAGTCGCTTAAACTCCTAAAACAGTGGGTTATTTAACAAACTAAATTAGAAACACACTAACGGAAGTTCCCCAAGAAGTTTTCTATTTAGACAAATAATCCATTTACTTACCTCCAAAAACGCCGCACGTCAAATTCAGGATTAAAGCCAAGGATGAAACTCAATTTCTTTAAACGCCAGCCGATTAAATCACAGGGAAAAGCCCATGTTTTACAGCCCCTATTTCTATGGAAAGTATATTTCCTGTTACCGTAAATAACCGAAGTGTGCGGGACTCCTTCCCTCGCTGTTCCGCACATGCGCAGATGCAGCGAACTTACTGATCTTCAGTCTCGTGCTCGCCCCTCCTCGAGCCGCCCTAGATTGACCTGACAAGGTGGTACTTGAAAGAGCTGTGTGCACAAGTTACTGTTTTCACTGCTGGAAATGGAATTTACAAAGTTGTAAAAATATGACACCGACAAGAAAGAACCACTGAGATAGATAAAGGAGCACAGGAGTGCATTTTATTTAGAAAAGAAGAAGAGAAATCATCACCACAGGCATTTCTTAAAGAAGATAGATAGATAGATAGATAGATAGATAGATAGATAGATAGATAGATAGATAGATAGATAGATAGATAGATAGATAGATAGATAGATAGAGATGTTGCCCAATGTGTGATAACACTGAATGTTCAGATGAGGGCAGTAGTTACTTTAGCAAAATACAGAATCTGCATCTGAATTGGAAAGTTTTGTGTTGCATCATCTTAAGTTGTTTGTGTGTCTGTGTCTGTGTGTGTGTGTGTGTGTGTGTGTGTGTGTGTGTGTGTGTGTGTGTGTGTGTGTGTGTCAATGGCGTAAATATCAGTTAAGCCCTTTTAGGGTTCCCCGACCTGTTAGGTGCCCTGTCACTAACTCCTGATAGGTCCCCTATGCAATTGGGGACCAGGACAGGCATCCCCAAAGTCGGTCCTCGAGGGCCGCTGTCCTGCAGGTTTTAGAGGTTTCGCCACTCTAGCACGGCTGTTTTACACTGAAAGGTGATTAACAGACTTTTGCTGAACTGCAATCATCAGAATCAGCTGTGCTAAAGCAGACAAACCTCTGAAATCTGCAGGACAGCGGCCCTCAAGGACTGACTTTGGGGACTGACTTTGTTGTACTTTATATGGGGCCCACCCAGATAATGTTGCTTACAGGCCTATTATTGTGTCGTTACGCCATTTTTGTGTGTATATACATTTTGAGGTGGTTATTTGGAGCTTAACCTAAAGATCAAAAGTGGAAACCTTCACAGGTTTTCTTTTGCTGGAGTTTCATTTTGCCTGTTTCCTGCATTTTGTTTCTTTAAGTCTATGGGCAAGAGGCAGGATAAACCCTGGACAGGTCCCCAGTCTGTCACAGGGTTACCCACAGAAACACAAAGACAAACAACCATGCACACACACACATTCACCCCAAAAGACAATTTAGAGATGTCAATGGACCTAACAGTCATGTTTTTGGACTGGATGAAGAAAGCCCGGAACCTTCATGCAGCAATGCAGAATTTTACTTGGGAAACTGTCCATCCTTCTACTCCATAATAACACGCTATTTTGGTTTATTTTTATCTCTTAAATGTCTAGAAGCTAACAAAGTGTAAATAATTTTTCAGGGACCATTATCGGCATGTGAATATGTGTTTGTAGTTACATGTGTTTGAGCTAGAAAAGAGTTATGAATGTTTACTCAGAAGCTGAAAAGAAACACCCAGGAATCTTTTAAAATAGCTTAATGCAGATTTGAATGAGGTATATTTATAAAACAGCAGCATCATGCTATTTCATCACTTGAGGCTGTAGTAGAAAGAAGAAGCTGAGAGAGAGATGCAGGCAGCTGCACGTAAGGTATCTGGACAACAAGAGTGGGTAGGACTCTGAATTCCCCTATACTGCAATCAAGCCACTATCACCATCTGCACGCCATTTTAAAACCATCAGTTCTGACTCTCCCTGAAAACATGGCCATGACCCCAGACATGCTCCACTTGCTAAATGAGCTTTTTCTGACATCTGCATACCCTGAAATGGTTGAATATGGGGAATCTGAGCCAGAATGGCTGACATCACGCAGCAGGGAGGAGGGTACACTAATCTTAATATTTGCAGCAAGAGATGACACATGCTCATGTATTTAAACATATTTTTAGGAACACTTTTTTAGTACTACAGTAATAAACACATTTACACATTTCAGATGAAGGATCAAATATTTTAGGTGGTGAAAATTCTGTCCGCCTTTGCGTTTCTCGACAAGAAGGCAGACCGCTGTCAGGACACAGGATGAGTTTTTCAGATATTTAATAAAATAATATGACTTATAAGAATAAAGATAGTAAAATGAAAGGTTTCAAAAGAGATAGCGTAGGCAAAAAAACAAAAAAAAAACAAGAAGCATGGCATATGGTACCTATTAATACCAGAGGAGAAATTGGAGCAAACAGGGAAAAACAAAAATGAGCAGAAACCTACCATGAAAGAAGATTCAAGTAATTAAGTAATAGAAAAACAATATCTAAATACACAAAAAAATGAGTTACACAAAAAAGAAAAGACCTGGCAAAAAATAAACCAACAAAATGTATGGCAAACCCAAAATGACAAAAATACTGGAATGTGGTGATCCTGACCAAAACCTAGCATACATTTATTTATTTATTTATTTTTTATTTATTTATTTATTTATTTATTTATTTATTTATTTATTTATTTATTTATTTATTTATTTATTAATCCTTTAACATAAGTTTCAATAGATCCTATATCTTTTGAAAACACCCTATGCAGAGTATATGCAACCTGATCAATCTAGAATAAATCTCACCTGTTCTTGGATGTTTTTTCTCCCATTTCATGGGTGGAATTCTGAACAATCCTAATACATTTTGCCAGTCATGAACCAGCCCTTCATGAGTCTATTTTAAAACAAAAGAGAGATTTACAGTATATGTGGACATGCAAATCCACAAAAGAACGTTCTCATTAGAGGAAAAGGACGCTATTATAGTGATCTTGCCAGTATATCTGAGATGTCTGCAGGGCAGGGCTGCAGATAAGCTAGCACTATCTGGCAGATTTTGTGAACTTTTACTGAGCCTATAGACTCTAACTAAGTGTCAAACATTTTATTTAATCAGCTCATTGGACTTTTTCCCATTACAGATTGACTTTCTTGATTAATTGTCCTGCATTTATATACAATTAAGGATACATTTTATATATCGGAGCATATTAACATTTTACATCAAAACCTGTCAACACCAACGTTGTCTTTTGAGAGACTCTGTAAGGTACATTTTACTAAATTAAACCACCTTTTATTCCTTGTACTTACCACTCAACTAATCATCTATATTGAAAATCAGAAAAATGATGCAAGCAATATCCCTAAATTAGTCTAAAAAAAGTCATGATCAAAGAATCCAGCTCTGATTAAGCCTAACAGATATGCTCAATAGCATTATTTTTGGGAGATTAAATAAAATTGAAAAGGTGCTTGTGTAACATAGAAAGGGGGCAGGGAACATACTAAAAAAGGAAAAGTATTTAATAAAACAAGGAAGTGTTTTATGAAAACAAGGAAGAGAACCAAACATCTCTATGAAATACGGAAGAGAACCAGCATTTCTATAGCATTCCAGAGACATGGATAACAATGTGTGATGACATAAAAGCTAAATATAGGTTTCAGGTTGTCTTCAAGATCAGGATGTTTGAGGCTTCACTCTTAAGCGGAGGGGCACGAGAGTTAGACCTCATTGCTTTGCTGAAGAGACATTTTAAGGAAGACAGGAATACTGAATGCAGAAGAAGATGGAGCTTTGTTTTTGCTTTTATTTATCTTTTGCTGTTCTTTTACTTCAGTTTTCCTGCAGTGAATCCATACAAGAGGCGAAGTCAGGCTCAGCGGACATTATTATTGGGGGATTATTCCCAATTCATGAAAGCGTAAATGCTATGGGACAATGTAACAGGTAATTCTTTACTTCTCTTAAACAATACTGCTGTATCATTACAGATTTGTAAATACTGTAAATTCATCTTTTCATCAGGTTCAGTGTTGGCCGGCTGGCTCAGTCTCTGATGATGGTGCATGCAATAGAGCAGATAAACCAGAAGAAGGAGTTAGGGGATATCAAACTGGGATATCACATATTGGACTCCTGCGCTGATGTCACCACAGCTTTAAAAAACTCTCTTCACTTCATGCAGCTTAACAGTGAGTTCCTCTGACACCAGACTGAACATAATTAAATTACAAAAACAATCATTTTAATTGCTGATCATTTGCAGTCGTTTACAAATTAGCTTAATTATGCACTACAAAGCACATGACATAATGTCTCCTGTTGATGATTTTGATTGTATACCAAAGATGTAACTGCTATTTATGTTGCATATACCGACTTTCCTCCACTTATCAAAGAAGTGATAGGCCCATGAAGAAAACCCATATATATCCTCACCTTCTCGAGCAGTAAGATCTGGAATCTCATGGAGTTCCTATTTTAGAAGGGAAATTCGGTCTTATCAGAAAGATCTAAGTTTGCCCTGGCATGGCCTCCTAGTGGCATGTGCCCTGAAAACATCAAAAGGGAGGTGCCCATGAGGTGGCATCCTGTTCAGACATCTCATAGAGGATATCAGCAGCTTCTATCTTCTCTCTTATGATCCATATCTCATGACCACATAAAGCTTGGGTTTGAAATGTGGACAGACCAGAAAATCAGGAGCTTCCTTTTTTGAGTCAGCTCTTTCTTTATTGTTGCAGACCGGAGAAGTGAGCACATTACTACTGTGGAGAACCTAGTTTATTTTCCCAATAAATTATAGAGTCAAAAAATATTCCAATATGCTGTTTGAAACAGAGACTGACCTTCCTTTCATGTTTTTTTCGCCACAGAAAGTTCAAACACAGATGAGAAACAACAGTTAAGCCCACCAGTGAAGGCCGTCATAGGTGATTACTACTCAGAGATTTCTATAGCAGTCACACGGCAACTGAACTTGGAGGAAATCCCCCAGGTATGCTGAAAACTGTCAATTCCCTCAATTATTCTCCAAAATACTGTAAGGAAGCACATCTTTGGAAAAAAAAACAAAGTTGAGTTTAATCTTGCTGACTATACTCTACATCAGTGAACTTTCTGACTTCTTTCTACTGAGTTTTCTTGGCAAAAGAGCATCCATGGGAGAGTTTAGGGAATCAATGTTTCTTAAAAATAAAAAAAACCCTTTTTACGTTTATCTGGAAAAATTGTGATGTTGTCTAATATTAGGGGAAATATCAAGTGGACAGAAAATACAAAAATAGAAATTTTGTTGAGGTTTGAATTCAGTTTTTCTCTAGTGTAAAATTAAGAGCGTTGCTGCAATAGAATGTCTTTCTGAAAGTCCATCAGTGGTTTAGTCGTCTGAAGCAACTTGCAGGCACTGATGGAAATATAAATTGCTTGATTTTCTTGCAAATTTTAAAACAAAAGCAGGCGAAGGCACTGTTTTTTTGTTGTCCTTATTGTCATAGTAACACAGGTTTTTGATTTGTTTGCACAGATAAGCTACGGTTCGACATCTGGTTTCTTAAGTGATAAAACTCGCTTCCCAAGTTTTCTGAGGACCGTACCACAGGACGATCACCAAGCTCATGCCATCATTGAAATTCTGATGGAACACAACTGGAACTGGGTTGGAATTGTAGCAACCGACAGCGAATATGGTCGCTACGCAGTCGAACGTCTCCAACATCACGCAGCCAGTCATGACATCTGCTTTGCATACATTCATTTTTTACCAGAGTTTCTTGTGGACAAAGACCTCAAAGAAAGCATCGGTGAAACAGTCAAAAGCATTGTTGAAAACAAAAATGTCTCAGTCATCGTGTCATTCGCAAAACCCGACCACATGATGTATATTTTCAACAATGTTCTCAGGCATCAAAGAGGTAAAAAGAAAATCTGGATAGCCAGTGATAACTGGTCCCAGTCAGTTAGCTGTCTAAATACAACAAGATGGAGTTTGAGAGATGTTGGAACCGTCTTTGGGATGACCCTGAAATCTGGAAACACATCCAGGTTTGAAAGGTTTCTCAGGAATATTGACAAAAACCCGGATATGTACCAGAACAATTCATTTTTGACTGCATATTTAAGTATGACTGATGACCATGTCAGTGGCTCAAATATGTCTAGACAAATACAACGGCTAATCCACATGACATATCCATATGCTGTGTTCAGTATTGAGCTGGCAGTCAATGCAATCGCTCAGGCTGTTAAAAACCTCTGCAACAACAACAGGACCTGTGCATCCCAACTGAAACCCAGACAGGTATGCACGTAAACACACACATAATGTGACACAACATGAGTGCACAATGTTTGTATGTATGCTACTATAATAGTATAGGGAGCTTTATATATTGATGACTCTTAAACTCTTTCACATTTGGTCAAATTAGATGTAAAAAATGAAAGTAGTGGAAGGAAAAAGAAAAAAAGGAAAATTTTATAAGTGAGGCTTTCAGTTCTATTCTATCTCCTGAATCACTCTTTAGTGGCACCGGTTTTTACTATATCTACATCTTTACGTCTTTCCTTTTTTAAAAAATGTATTCTTCCAGGATTGAACAGTGCATTTTTCCAAATTTCAAATCACTTGAAAATACAGTTAATTTTCTTTTACTTTTCAATAACCCTCTACTTTTTCTTGATCAGTTAAAATATAAATACAAAACATACAAATTTGTGCTTCCATATATATGAAAACTTTTTCCAGAACTTATGTAGAGCAGGTCGGACAGGTCTCATTGAAAAATTTGAAACTTGCTTGCTACTTAGTCATAGCTTTTTATCCCTTATCATTTCAGTTAAGAGACGCTTTGGGAAGTACAGAGTTCTCCATAGATGGCAAAAAATATTCATTCAATAAAGACTGCGATGTTGACTCGGGGTATGATATTATCCTGTGGAGGTACACCTCACCAAGAACTGTGGATATGAACTACAAAGTTGCCCATTATGACATACAACAGGAGAAACTGATGTTTGACCCGAACATCGAAAGTTTGTTTCATCAGACTGTAAGTAATTCCCTTCTTTTCATGGGTTATATTCTCTTTATATTTTTCTCTTTTATTGGTGTGAAATATTTCGAATTCACTGCATAGCAATGTGCATTCACCTTTTTCATCACTTAATCACATTAACTTGCAGTATTAAAATAAATAAATAAATGTCTCTTTCTAAATCTTTTAAATGATTTTGATGTTAAATGAATATGGTAATGAAAATGACTAGAAATAATTTCAAATTAAATAATACTTTCCGTTTAATAATGTTGTGAATGATATATGTTTAAAGATGTCATCACCCTCTATTAGATTCTCTTATTTTAATACATATTTCTTTTCATTTTGACAACTGAGAAAGCATCCCTTCATATGTTTTTGCTCATTTAAAGTAATTATTGAGCCTTTAAATGAGAATAGGAAGGGAACAAAACTGTTTGCTCTTTTGATTTATATAATCTCACCACTCTGCCCCTGATTTTAAACAAGTGAAGGGTAAATTATTTTGTACACAGTTTTTTTCTTGTGATAAAAAAATAGTGAAGGATAATATGAACCATACTGCTGTTTTTGTATAAGCAACATTTCAATAAATATCCACCTGAAAGTATTGTATGTCAAAACTGACACAAAAAATCTCCATTATTAAGTAATTGTGCCCTTGGTTCTGTCATATAGCAGGCCAGCCACCTTTAATAGCTTTCACTGTCTAATGCATTTTATTTCTAATGCATAAAGCAACTGTTTAAAAGCTGCCTAAACTCCCTACAACTTATAATGTAATTCCATACAACAGGTGATTTAATTTTGCCGCCCAAAAAAAAAAAAAAAATTATGGTTTATTTTGAATTTGTTGATGTTATGCTGTAAAAGAAATATCTGACACTGTTTTAAAAAATGCTTTCTTCCTTCTAGAAAGGTGTAAGCTCAGTGTGTTCAAGATGCAATCCAGGCGAGTGGAAGATCAGACAGCAAGGCCAACCAGTTTGTTGCTTTGAATGTAAAAAGTGCCCTGAAAACCACTATTCAAATGTTACAGGTTTGTATCACATTGAAGTTTGATTTTTAAAAAAGTCAGATCAAAACTAAACAAATCATAAAACCTGTTTTTTTGTGTAACTATTGGTCTAAAAGCCCAAAGTTCTATGTATAACACACATTTTTTTGCTTTGTTTGCAGATGCTTTACTTTGCTTGCAATGTGATAACACCACCCACTACTCAGAAGAGGGTAGTCAAAGCTGTACAGTGAAAGAAACTGTCTTCCTAGAGTGGAAAGATATATACCATATTGTGCTTCTGGCTTCTGCTGCACTCGGAGTTGTGCTCACCCTTGTGGTTGGCATCATTTTCCTAGCCTCCTGGAATACACCAGTTGTTCGCTCATCTGTTGGCCCCATTGCCCTCCTCCTCCTCTTTTCAATTCTGCTGACATTTGGAAGTGTGGTAATATTTGGTGGCAAACCCAATGACTGGCAGTGCAAAACTCGACAGGTGTTGTTTGGTTTAAGTTTTACTTTGTCCGTCTCCTGCATCTTGGTCAAGTCATTTAAAATCATCTTGGCCTTTGAGTTTGACCCAGTAATACAAGACAGACTGGATAAGCTCTACAAGCCTTACCTCATTATTCCATTTTGCATGTTAGGTCAGGTGGTGATCTGCACAGTTTGGCTGGTCTATATGCCCCCAATACCAATGAAGGCTTATAATATTCCAAACACAGTTGTCTTGAAATGTAATGAGAGGTTATTTCCAGCGTTCGGGGCCATGTTGGCTTACATTGGCCTTTTAGCAATCATCTGCTTTATTATTGCTTTTAAAGGGAGAAAGTTGCCTCAGAGTTACAATGAAGCTAAATTCATCACCTTTTCCATGCTGATTTATCTTATTGCCTGGATCATCTTTGGTCCAGTTTATAAGAATATCACAGGCAGGTACCATTCTGCTATTGAAATGACAGTCATCCTCATCTCAGCCTACGGCATCTTATTCTGCCTGTTCTTAACAAAATGCTACATCATCCTATGCAGACGGAGTGAAAATACAACAAAGTCGTTTCGTGCGGATGTTACGAAATTTGCCATGGGAAAAGATTCAATTCTGGACAAAAAATGGCCAAAAGATTCCAGTGGAATCTTTAATGAAGGCCTATCATTGGAGTCGCTGCCAAGCCCAGAACCATTGAATCCTGTGGAAGATCGGCGAGAGTCGATAAACTCCATTATGAAACCATCCTACGATGATCCCCTCCAAGATTCTCAGCCATCCTTGCTAGATTATAACCCTTAGTGATATAAAAGCTTTTCAGCTTGGGCATAGAAATGATATGGAAAATTGTACAACTAAAGCAAATTGTGTTGGACATTTATTTGAGAATTACGTGATAACCATGTTTGCTAAATTTTCATGATCAAATATTGGACAAAATATGTTCCTTGTCAATGACTGATGACACATAATCTCAATGAATACTTTATTCACCTTAATTTCTAAGAGAATGTAAAGTGACTTCCTCAACTGTTAACTAAAGTAGAATCTTTGATGATGAAAATCGCTTTGTACAGCGCATTGTAGGTGAGAGCATTTAACATGTAAGTGTTGAGCAATCTAGTATCAAAAACATTCAATTTTCTCCACAATGACATGAACAATGTGGCCAATAAATCTATTTGAATATATTGCTATGTTATATTTTTAAGGAATTGTGAAAAGTTTACAAGGCACATTAATGTTTCATTGAGAGATAATCTTCCATAATTAACCCTTTACAATACACTATAGACCTCAAAAATGATCACTGATTATATCTTACTGTTACTCTGATAAACAGCTGCTGTAGCTTTACCAAAGGCTTAATGTATGTATAATTATTTAAAGAAAGAAATCTGTTAAAGACATCTGTTGAAGAAAAGATTGTGATTATCTTTTAAGTAAAAATATAAAAAAGGGTGGCAGCAAAATACACTTTGAACTAATTTTCTGTTTTTCTTTTTATTTATTTTTTTATTTCCTGTTTGGAATCAGTGAGGATTACAAATTATATTTATTTGGTAAAAATTGTCTTAATACCTCCCACGAGTTTGGAAGTTTAGCTTTTTATTTTCTTGTTTACATTGCATGAAATACTGTACGAAGTTTCATATACTTTAAACACTGCAATTATCCTTTACAAGTTTTGTTTCTTTTATCAATTTAGCCTATTCATACTGTCAGACCTGCTGCAGCTAATGCTGCCTTGTGGTATGGTAACGTTGATTTGTTCCATCACATTGCATTCAAGAGCTTTTGTCATGATGGTAGAAAAATCTGTCCTGTCCTGCTACTTGGGCAAGACAGTAATGGACTTCCTAATTTATCAAATGTATCGACTGACCTCTAGCAATCATCTGATAACATTAAATGATAACAGTGATTTTTTTTAAATGTACGTCATAGCATTGTGTAAGCAACAAACACAACTGGAGAGGATGTTTAACTATGCAGTATTCACCATAAAGAATAGTTTTGCTGCTCAGCAAAACTCAGCAACTCTGGTATCATAAAATGTTTCCAACTTGCCATTGGAAGTTACGACATGAGTGGACATATCGGTTTTTGGTATTTGCCATAATTACGACCCCAGATGAAGGCAGCATAAGTCAGCTTCTTAGGCCACACACCTTTTTTGGTTTCAATTCATGTAAAACACTTTGAATTGTCTTTAAAATGAACTCTGCTATACAAATAAAATTGTTGTGCCTTTTGCTCACCTTTTCTATTGGACTGAGATCAGAGTGATATTGAACATATTTATGGATCAGTACTTGTATGATCCTCTTGCAGATCTGCTTCTTACTCCTTGAACCCCAGTTGGCCTCGGCAGAAGGCCGCCCACACTGAGCCTGGATCTGCTGGACATTTATTCCTTTTAAAAGGGAGATTTTCCTCTCCACTGTCACTGCACGCATGTTCAGTGTTAGAGACTCTTGTGGAGTCAATGACAATGACATTTCAAGACACAATAGACTGTTTTTTTTAGCTAACTTAATTTATGTTATCATCAAAAGACTATAAGCAAATACTTATTTTCAAAACCTTGGTTAAATAGTACTTTTAGTTTGGCTATGGCTCTTGAAAAAATGTAATTGATAAAAATCATGGCTATTTACACTCCCATTAGTCAATGGTTTCTCAAAGAACACCATTATCAGCTCTACAGTCTGCTTATGCACACAGCAACATTGATAGATTAAACTTGTGCCTGGCATTGGATTTCAGTTTAAAATGTTTTTTTTAATACCAAGTAACCAACTGTCCAGGCTCTAAATAACTGAGATAAGACTAATGAGACTTAAGTTTAGAGACTAAAGATATTTAAAGCTTCTAATGGACAGAAACTAAATTCACAAATAACTGCACAGAAATGTTAATGAATTACACCATAAAGTTCATGTTAAGCCAGATTAGGCAAGAATGATTTCAACAAGACTATATAGCAAGTATAAGTAAATACCACACCCGCTTGCATAATTTAGTTCACTGCCGCAGTTATAATTGTTATACAGATCAACCATCTTGTTGAGGATTACAAGCTTACGACAATACAAAGTCTTTGTTTCGACTGTTGGTAAATTTCCTTGTACTGTAATTAGCAGAAATAACTGGAATCTTTCCTTTTCACTGTTCCGTCTTTTACAGAAAGTACCTGTAGATCTCATTCTTGGGATTCCATCAGTCCTCAATCCTTAAGCAACCTATAAGGAAGAAGTTAGATTTAGGTGCAAAACAACATGCAGAGCTGGATCCTGAAATATAATAAACTATAAAGGATAAAAAACATACGAGTTTAAAAGACAAAAGAAGGCTTTTCAAAGCATCAACAAACTGATGAACGCCTTGGAAAAAACACCACAGTATAGGTTTTATAACACACATTTACTGGCAGAAGCCCCAGTAAAACATTTCATGTGACAATACGTTGACCTGACCGGCGTTTCTAGTTTGTTACCGACAGTGATCTGCCCGACTGCACATGAATTCAGCATCAGCGTAACAATCCATTCCACCCCACTGCACTGCAATGACTTTTAACAGTCACCTCAACCAGAGCTGACAGCTCCATGGATTTACATGTCCTATTACTATTATCATGAACAGGAAATTTAGAGTTTACCGAAACACTTCAGTTTGTTGATGGGTGTAATTACTGATTAATTAAAAATAGAACCTGCTTTTCAGGCCAACTAATACATGACTTAAAAAACATTAGAAGTTACATTATGTCCCTTAAATGTTCAAGTTAAGAGGAAACGGACACAGGAACAAAGGTATTCTTATGTTTATATTCTATAATAATATAGTCACTTTGAATGATTCATCTATTTGTCAGTAACATACTTTTTTGTTGCTGTTGTACATGGAGGAATGTGTGGGTTCTCTCTGGGTACTCCAGCTTCCTCCCACAGTTCAAAAATATGACTGTTAGGTTAACTTGCATCTCTGAACAGACTTTGTGTGTGCATGGTTGTACGTCTCTGTGTCTGTCACCAAGACCCTGACGGATTCAGTTGGAGAAGGTAAATTAATGTCTTAAAAGAACTTTTGAAAAATAAACAGTTTAATATATAATATATGCATATATTATTAATTTTTATTTAGTGACATTTATCAATTTATTGGCAATTATTATCTAATCTTAGTGGTAGTGTAACATATTGCAACATAGTAAATTAATATTTGAAGTGCAAGAAAGTAATAAATATCTACTTAATATTCTTATAACAGGAAATACTACAGGGATTCAAAATCCACTATGGAAAACAATTCTTTACTTAATTGTTTTTAATAAATATAACTTTGATCTTATTAAGTAAATGTTACATAATGTTTTTTCAACAGTTATGGTTTATGGAAAGTAAAGTATATTTGATACTTAATTAATTAATAGGTGTGCAGATACAATATATTTCTTAAGTAAACCTTATGAGTTCTTATTTTCAGTGTATGAAGTAGCTGCTGTGTAGATTAGGTAAAATACGTTATTTGGAATTGTAATTTTTGCAATTATTCAAAATATATATTTTTTTTATTATTGAGACTTTATTAAATGCTGCTTTGTTATTTATAATCAGCTTCGACCATTAGTGACTAATGCATAACTTTGTTATAAAAGTTTTGAGTGAAGTACACCCTATATTAAAGCTAAAATCCCTGCAGAAATCAGCTTTTTATGTTGACTTCCCTCTAATTGGTGACTTCTTCTAGCCAATAGAGCTCCTGTTCAGAAGGAGCTCAATCAAGCATTTTCAATTAAAAATAAGATACTGACCATTTGTAGTCTGGAAAAATTGTGTACTCAAAAAAGGTTACCTTTCCGAGCTATTTGTTTTACATATCAAAGTTGTGTAGATATTATATTTGGGTGTGTTATGTTTAACACATACCATATATTATTAAGAGAAATGTGTGAATTTAAAGATCAAATACTTCTCGTTTGTTTTTGGTTGTTCTTACACTTCCGCTAAAGATACTGTAAAACCTGTGAGTGTTTCGTCTTTCCTTACCATTAAGGAAAGCATTGTTATGCATTTTGGGGATTACCATTGTTTAAGGTATGTTAAGAATGCAAGTAGCATAATTTCAATATCCTGAAAGTTTTTTTCTTTGTGTGAACAGGAATCGGATCAAACTCTAGGAGTTAGCTTCCTCATTTGTTTAGCTTTGCAGTATGTTTTTATCCAACATCATACACGGAACATATAGAATGTAAAAAAGAAAAAATAAACACATAAGATTCGTGCATTTGCTTGCATATTTCAGATTCCAGTTGCTTTGAGCGTTGAAACATATATTTCAAGTTCAGGAAGTTTGACAGCTCACTCTGCTGCTGTCAGACCAGAGAGAAACATAAAGCTGAGGTTTTAGACCTCCCTAATTGCAAAAGCTTTTTAATGCACTTGGATTACATTATATATACCGGTATATTTATATATATATATATATATATATATATATATATATATATATATATATATATATATATATATATATATATACATATTATTTTAGTCTGCAGTTTTAACTTTTTGGGGGCAGCAGCTTTTGTATGCCACAATGATGACAACAGGAGAGGTTTTAGGGGGTATTACTCTTTGAATCAAAAGATTCAAGGAGTGTGGCATTAGGTACTATAAATCAAACATGAGGATTCAATATAAATCTAGGAGTAAGATAGTAAAACAGTAAGAATCTCCAAAACAGAGAGCTCTAAAATCTTTACGTTTCTCTCAGGTGTGAGTAAAGCCATCAAGCTTCCTGAACTTGAAATATAAGTTTCAACTCTCCAATCCACTGGAATCTAACATATGCATGCTCATTTACTAATCTTATTGGTTTTACCCTCCTTTTTACCCTCTATGTTTTCCAGTAAAATTTACACCAAGGCTTCCTTTCGAAAATCCCTGGTTGAAGTTCCAGTTTGTTAACTCTCCACTCTAGTGCTCTCAGACATTTTTCCTAACTTCCTCTTCCTCATTAGACAAGTTACCGTATCAATGGTCTAATTATAGACTCAAACTGGAGACTTTGCTATAACTTTATTTGTTTGTTGATTTTTATTCAACAATTCAAACTTTATTTGAATACATTCCCATGTTTGCTGAAATATATCTATTGCCACACTTTTTGATTCAAACAGTAATATTTACCTGAAACCTTTCAGGGTTATGTAACAGTTCGAGGTTTGACAGGTTTGGACAAAAAATAGTATTTCTTAAAAGGATCAGTTGCAATTTATCTCAAGTTTCATTTGAATTAATGCTGCGCACAGAAACAGCTGCTAGCTGATTGGCAGCTGTTAACGTATAGATGAGGAGCAGAGCACAGCACCTTTAAAACAGATGAGGAAGACACAGAAGTTCTTTATCACAACTGGTCACAGCTGACTTGTGTTATGGTGAGTGACTTCATACATTTGAATAGGGCTTTGTGATAAATGTTTGGTTCATGCCCAGGTTAATAAAAACAGGCTTTGGTGTGTTTTGTTTTACTACAGATGAGGACCGGAAATATAACATAAACCAAGCTTATCAACAAAAAAATAAGACAGAACATTGCTGCAGCTGCTCTGAGGAAATAGACTCAGATAAGATTAAACATAATGACTGAAAACTCCTTGTGTCATGATTTAACTAAAGATCTGACCCAAATGCAGAAGACCAAACAGAGAGACCAGGGAAAAGAGGGAAGAGTACAGTGCTGCTCTGAACACTGTCAAACCGGAACTGGAAGGTGAGGGGAAGACACAGTGGTTAGTTCAGGCTGAGTAGGAAATTTGATTCGTGAACTTGAAGAGGAGGATTTGGTTGTCGACTCACGTTTCCAGAGAAGTTGTTGACTCTTTGACTCCAGTCTGTGTGCTGTTGTTTCAGTGTTGGTCTGATTCGGTGGAGGGCGGACAGGGTTTACCCAGAATGCGGTTGTTTGTAGGTGAATGGAGAAGCAGACTGCCACTCAGATTTCCTGCGGTACTTGAACGGGTCATAGTGGAGATGAATCCCTTGCTCAGTGTGAAGCAAATATGTATTTAGAACTGATCTTTGATGTTTAGTTTATATCATCAGGTAGTTAGTTATTTTAGGTAAAGTTATAATTTGTTTGGCAGTCTTTTTAGACTTGATTTTTGTTGTTTAAATATGAATACATATGTTAAATTGATTAAAAGCATTACTGTCCCCGTTTCCTATTTTAATTTTCATGATAT